TTGAAGACATTGGTGTAGAGAAAGACTTTATGAATAAAACCCTAATCACACAGGAACTATCACAAAGAATCAACAACAGAGTTTACCAAAAAGCTTTTGGACAGCAAGAGAAACCACCAACAGAGTGACAAGACAATACACAATGTGGGGAAAAGTTTCCCCGGACAAAGGATTACTATCAAGAACATAAAAAGAACTCAAAAAAACCTAAGCTCCCAAATTTAAAGATCCAATCCAAAAATGTGTATCTGAGATGAATGTACACTTCTCAGATAAAGAAATACAAATGGCAAATACATACATGAAAAAGTTCAACATCACTGGTCATTCAAGAAATGCAAATTAAAACAGCACTGAGATACCATCTCATCCCAGAAAGAATGACTGTTATCTAGAAGTCAACCAGTAACAAATGCTGGAGGGAGTATGAGAAAAAGGAATCCTTCTCCACTGTTGGTGGAAATGTAGACTGGTCAGCCACTGTGGAAATCAGTGTGGAGATTCCTCAAAAAACTAGGATTGGAGGTCCCATTTGACCCACCTATTCCTTTTGGGCATCTTTCCAGAAGCATTAAAAACATCATATCATAGTGATGTATGTGTACTCATGTTTATAGCAGCACAATTTGTAATAGTGAGATCTTGGAAACAACTCAAATGCCCATCAACTGAGGAATGGACAAAAAAGATGTGGTATTTTTATACAATGAAGTACTACTCAGCTCTAAGGAATAAACTGGTGCCTTTTATAGGTAAATGATGCAACTCAAAACCACACTCATAAGTGAAATAAAACAGATGCACATGTGTAACACAAGTTATATATATATATATATTTACAGTATTTAGTTCATCAAAAACAAAAGTTTGTATTAATACTGCTTGGACAGTTAAATGCCAATAGCTTGTACTCTGAGTAACTAGTTTAAAGATAACAATACACAACATATTAACTGTTGTTACCCTCTTATTGTTTTGAAATTTTATTTTTTTTCTGATAAAATTGTTTTAGACTAACACAAATGCTGCAAAAGAATAGTATAGACACCTCATGTGCATCTTCCCTAAACATGCTAGTAATTATAGTATCATCATTAGCCTTGAAATTGACATTGGTCCAATACTCTATCAATTATAGACCTTATTCCACTTTTCTCACTAAAATCTACAGGATATACTTTAGGATCCCACATTGCATGTATTTGTTGTGTTTTCTTTGTCTCTTCCAATCTGTAGTATTTTTGTCAGTACCTTGACACTTGTCATGAGTATGAGTCAGGTTTTTTGTTGTCTAGCATTTTCTCATAAATTCAAGTAAAGTCACACATTCTTGGCACAAATATTACATCTGTAATGCGTTCTCATTGTGTAACTGTTGGCAGTGCATGATGTCAGTGTGTCTTGTTATTGGTGGTATTAACCTTGAATTTGGTTAAGATGGTTTTATCTGCTGTAAAGTAACTGTGTAATTAATACATATCTTTGAGATGGCATATAATCTAGTTTTTTCCTTAATCTTCTACCTATAGATTTTAGCATCTATTAGTACATCTTGTCTGAAATAATTTTCAGTGTAGTATTTACTTAGCGGTAATTTTGTATTTCATTCATATCTTTAATAATTATTAATAAAAATCCTGTCCCCTTTTATTTAGTGTTTTTATTTTGGGTAGAATCATAAGTATATGTTTTATTCTGTAGAGTACAGTCTGTACTGTTATTTACATTATTGCTTAAGTTGTTCCAGCTTTGGCCATTAGGAAATCCTTCAGGTTGGTACTTATGTCCCTTTCCTGTGTCTTTGACTTTATAAAGAATTCCTATGTTTTTGATTTTGGAGAATGTCTCACGCTGGTCATGTATTTTTCCTCCTCTATCCCTGAATCAGCTGATTCCACAGAGCCTGGATTCCTTTTATGGGAATACGGTACATAAATGCTTTTGAAATTTTTGGTTCATAAATGCTTTTGATTGCAAATGATTTCATTTGCAAGCTCTGTGGTGATGACAAGCACAACCACAGCCATCTTTCCCACACAAACACAAAAGTGGCTTTCTTTTCTAAAATCATAGAACAAATTAAGTTAATTAAGTTGATGAACGGGGTACCACTGTATTTAGAAGTTAATGTCTAGGTCCTGGGAGTCATGTTGCCACTAAGGTGCCATTGTTACCAGAGGTAGACATGCAGGAGCACACACACTCTAATCCACATGGGCACACTCATCTATGCATGTGTTTCTATAGCTGTGTGTCAATATGTATGAAAAACGTGAATTCAGACCAATACTTGCAATTCACATTTGCCGCCACTGAGCTCATTGTAGCCTTCTTGCTACACGAGTATATGTGAGAAACTTGGCCCTCATTACTTACGATATATTTACTTGTTCAGTGCCTATAGTAAGCTAGCTTTAAATTTGCTGACCCTATAGAAAACAGATTTACTAAGTTACAGTCTATGCAATTTTTTTCATATTTAGCCTTTTTCACATTTAGCATTTCCAGTGAAAGCAGTACTTTCCAAAGTTACTAAAGGTAATTCTTTTCTTCAGTGCGGCTGACTTACCCATTTGTAATGTAGCTAGATTCATTTGTTACTGCTTAGATTCCTTTTGGGGTCCCTTTTCCCTGACATCCTGGTTAATTCCAAAATTTTTTTTATTGTTTGGGTATATAAAACACTACTATGGTGCTAAGATTACAGAGCTATGTGCTCCTTCTTCATACCTGTTTCCGTGTCCCTTTCCTTACCCACTACCTATAGAAAAGCACTCACTCTAATTTCTAAAATATTGTTACCATAATCTCTTTTGCATACATAAGTAGGAACATGTGTACTTTTTCTTTCTCACATGAAGGATAGCATATTTTGGATGCTCTTTTATACTTGGTTCCTTTCATTTAACAATACATTCTGGAAGTCACTCTGGACAAGCCCATAGAAACTTTCTTCCCCCTTTTATAGCAGCACAGTACCCTACTGCTCAGGTGTACCCTAGTTTACCAACCATCCTCTGTACAGAGGCACACAGGTTATTTCTAATGTATTGCAGTTTAATGCTCCAGTGGTTAAACTCATGCAATTTTTTTCACATTGTTGGAAGGGACTAGGTTAAAAAATAATGTACAGAGCCCTGTTAGATAATTTCCTTCCCATAGCAGTGAAAGGGATGCCTGTGTTCCTGTGGCGATGTCAACAGTGGCTGTGACACATTGCTAAACTTTCACCAGTCTGATGGGTGCCAGGGGATATCTTGATGATGTCTTAATTTGCATTTCTCTAAATGCAATTTTGAACACTTTTTCTTATGTTTGAGGAAAATTTTAATAACTTTTTGTGAACCATTTTGTCTTCTCCATTTTTTTCACATTTTTATCCTATGTTCAATTTTTATGAGAGTTTCATTTACTAGTTATTAGCTTTTTTCTTGTGGCATATGTTCTAAATAGTTTCCTCTGACCTTTTCAGGTATCTCTTATATTTATTTAGAATTTTAAAAAATTTTGTTTGTCTGTTTTGCTTTGTACTGCAGAAGTTTTTATGTAGTCAAATTTGTCAGTGTTTGCTTTATTTTTTCTGGATTTTCAGCCACAGAAAATATTTCCCTATACCCAGGTTAGAAGGGAATTCACTCATGCTTTTTTCTAACAAATATATATATATATATATGTAATATATATATATATATATATATATATATATATATATTCTTAGATTAAAGTAGTCTGTTCTCTGATCTGTTAGGTTTATTTTTGCATATGGTTTGAGATACAGACCTAAGTTTTTACCTTTCCTAGGGGTTACCCTATTGTCACAGGGTAATATACTGTATTAAATGTACTTCTTTAACCTAGAGATTTGAGGTGCTAAATTTCCATTGACAGGCTTACATCTGGACTCCTAATATTCTCCTATTGGTCTGTTATTTGTCTGTGCATAAGTACCACGCTGTGTAATTATAGAGTGTTTATGGTATATTTTAATATCAATTAGTGTTTTTTCTCTAGAGTTTTCCTGGCTATTCTAGTTTGTTTTTACATGTATACCTTAGTATCAATTTGTATAACTCTAAAATAGTTTTTTTTTCCCACTAGGACTACAATGAATTTACAAATTACCTTAGGGAGAACCATCATCTTTTAATGTTAAGTCATCATATCCAAGAATAAAAGATGTCTTTTCATTCATTCACATCTACTTTTTTGTCTTTCAGGAATGTTTTAAATTCTTCTTGTATAGTTTTTGTGCAATTCTTGTTAAACTTATTTTAAAATATTTGATCTTTATTAAAATTATTTTAAACGGAGCTTTCTCTAATGCCATATTGTTTGTATTTGAAAGCTATTGATTTTTATATATTAATTTTGTATTAGTAAATTCCTTTATGGTTTGAGTTTGTTTTATCACCAGTCTCTGGGGTTTCCAGATATGTATTATGATATCATCTGCAAATAGAAATAGTGTTAGTACTTTACTCCTTCTTATGCCTCTTATTGATTTCCCTTGTCTCATTATATCTGTAATACCCTAGTAAAATGCCAAACAAAAATGCAGACAGCAGATATCTTTCTTTTTCCCTGGTCTTAGTAAAAATTCCACTAGTCTTTCCCTATTTAATGACATACTAGCTTTTTAGGATTAAGATATATGTATTTTATCATGTCAAAGAATATAACCCTCAAGTCTAATTTTTAAAAATTTTTGTCCTAGATTTTAAGTTTTGACAAAGTTTTAGCATCTATATAGATAATTGCATTTTTTCCTTATGTATACTAACATGGTAAATTATTTTAATGGGTTTCCTAATACTGAACTACTCTTTCATTTGTGGAAGCTGTCCTACTTGGTCGTGGGATGTTTTTCTTAAGGTGATATTAGATTCAGTCTCATATTTCATTTAATATTTTTGCACTAATACTCGAGAACAATAATTTATTTGTAGTTTCCATGTCATATTGCTTCATGGCAGGATGTAAGACGTTTTCTTTTCTTCTAGGTGCTCCGGAATGGTTTGTACAGAGTGGGTCTCTCTGAAGGTTAGTGTGTTGCCTCTTCTAGCCCTCTGTCTGTTCTGATGCTTTCTGTGTAGAAATTGTGCATTTCATCTACATTTCCAGATTTGTTTGCATAGTTCTGCCAAGTATTCTCTTGTGATTTTTACATTTTTTTCTGTTTCATTATTTTCTCCATGGCAGTTCTTATTTTCTGTATTTTTATTTTTGAGTCCTTTTTCTTGATCAGCTAGTGATTTGTCCATTTTGTTAATTCCCTCAAAATCAGAATTTATATTCATTAGATTTACTGTTTTTCTATTGCCTACTTCATTAGTTTAAGTTTGTCTCTTTGTTATCTTTGTTCTTATATTTACTTTTTCCCCCTGTTTTTAGTTTTTGTGTGTTGGGGATTATTACTTTACTAGTTTTTCTTCATTTTTACTGATAAAATATTAGAGTACCCAGGCATGGTGGCACATGCCTGTAATCCCAATACTCAGAAGGCTGAGACAGGAGGATCATTGCAAGTTTGAGGCCAGCCTGGGCTTAATGACTTAATAATGAGTTCAATACCAGCCTGAACTACATACCCCTGCCCCCCATCCCCCTAAAAAGTTAGTGTAATGAATTTTTCTGAGTAGTGCTTTAAATGCATCTCAGAGAGTCTGATATGCAATGTTTTCATTGTAATTATTTGTTTTTTATTCTGCACACTTCAGTTTGTATTTCCTCTTTGACTTAAGAGTTAATAATAAGGATATTAAATTTCCAGGTGGAAATACCCTTCCATTTATTATTTTTGTTAATAATTGACACTTTTCCTATAATCAGAAAGTGTGTTTTGCAATATTTCTACATTAGGGCAACTATTGATTTTTTTTTAATGTGATCAGTTGTGAATGTGCTGAAGACTCAGGGTATAAAGTTCAACATATATCCAAGTGTTTCTCTATTGCCACCGTATAAAGTTCAACAGATATGTAAGGTTGATTGAACCTGTTGTTTAAACTTTCTTTACTTATTTTGTTTTTCTTTTGGTCGGTGTTGCTACTGTAATCCTGAAGCTTGACCTAGGGTCTTACATATGCTAGGCAAGCACTCTACTGTTGAGCTACATCCAGCCTTATTTTCTGTATATTTATCTGCCTTATATGAAAATGGTGTATTAAATGTCTTGTTATTAGTGTGTTTCTGTCTCTTTTTATTTCTTTACAGTCTTCGTTTCATAAAGGTTGTGATTGTTATTAGATCTTCATGTGAATCATAGTTTTAGCATTAAAGAAGTCCTTATTGGTGTTTAATGGTTTGTGGTTTGAATTCTTTTTGAGCTGATGCTACCCTTTCTTTGTTCATTAATTGGTAAATCTTTGTCTTCCTATTAATTTCTAGCCTTTTAGAATCAATGCATTTTGGGTATCCCTTTGGACATAGCATTTATTTGGGTTTTGGTATGGGAGCCAAATGGAAGACTTTTTTCATGTTAAGCCCATTTCAATTTATTGACATGACTTACTTATTGACTTACAACTCTGCTGTAATATTTTATAGCTATATTTAGTTATTTTGCTGTTTATTTCTCTATAATGTATATTTTTTGCTCTTTTATACACTTTTTAAAAATTTTAGATTTAGAAAGATATTTCCTAGTTGTTAGTTGTATATAAACCTATTTAATGTTCTTTGCACCCTCTTGTATTAACCCTTCACTTTCTGATTTTTACTTTCTTTTAGTACCATTTAATATTCACCTATTACTTATAAAATAATGAAAAATTTCCTTTTTTCTCTTAGTTTCCCATTTTAGATGCATCATTTCTGGCTTGTCACAGTATGTAATACTGTATGTTAATTAACCTTCCAGCCTGATTACTTTGTTTTAGTCAGATATATATCTAAATGCTTGCTCTAAGCTCTTTGCTGGAATTTTCCCAGTTATTTCCTAGTTAAATTAAAGTTTATGCTTCATAGAGTCCTCCAGTATAATTAATGAATGTAGAACAATTCTTGCATCTTGAAAATCGTTTTTCTATAGCATTGATATTTAAAAGAGTGCTAGGCTAGTTCTTAAAATCTTGACTCAAAATTTCTTTCATTGAGTTTATTAAAATATTTCTCCATAGTTTTATTTATGACTTTGAAAAGCATAAAAGCATACCACTGGTCTAATTTCTTTACCTTTGTAAGTTCATTGATCTTTGTATACCAAGGCCTTGAAGATTTGATTTTTGAAATTAGCAGTTTACTAGAATGTGTCTCAGTTGAGCGTCTAGGTTAGTTTTCCAAGGTGCCATTCATTTTAAGATTCATTTTGTTCTTTTTTGGGGTAGAGGAGGTACCAGAACCAAACTCAGGATCTCACTTGTGCCAGATAGACGCTGTGCCTCTGAGCTCCATCCCTGACCCCATTTTTTTTTCTGTTTCCAGAAAGTTTTCATAGGTTGTAATTAATTTCTTTCTTTCTTTCTTTCTTTCTGTCTGTCTGTCTGTCTGTCTTTCTGTCTTTCTGTCTTGCTGTGTAGTTCAGGCTGGCCTTAAACTCGCTGTGGAGTCCAGGCTGGTCTCAAACCCATAGAGACCCTCCCAGCTCCGCCTCCCGAGTGCTGGACTTACAAACTTGCTTCACTGCACCTAGCTGATTGTAATTTCAGACATTAGCTCTGTTGCATTGGTCTGTTTTCCTTTTTCAGAGACTATAGTTGTACAAATGTTATTTCTTTGTCTTCTATTCTTACTGCTTGCCTTCTGTTTGGGTGGTGGGTTACTGGGAATAGAACTCAGGATCTTCTGCTTGCCAGAGGGACACTTAGGCTGCTGACCTGTATTCCTGACCCCTCCTCTTTTCTTCTCTAATGTCATTTCTTTCTTTGTTGTGTGTGTTTTTCTCCACTGCTCTCTATTTCCATTTAACTCTTTCTCCTTTGGGCACTTAATGGCTTTCTCATTTCTGAGTTTACTCAGCTTTCCATTGCTTTCTGGAGCTTATTCAGCCTTCCTTTCCTTTCTCCTTGTTTGTGCCCTTTTCAGTATTTGTTGTAAAAATTTCTGATTTGGGGTATTTTTTCTCACATCCTCAAACACTTGGATAATATGTTTAATTATGTTTGGAGTATTATGGTTTAATTTACGGTTGTGGCATGAGGTATTTTTAAAGATTCTTAGTCGAGGGCAGCAGTGGTAAACTTAGGCATGTGTGCCGTGGCTGGATGTTTGTTATCACTGGAAACTCTAAAAGGTTCACCAACACTGGTCTAGGGGCATCTTCTGTTAGTGGGAAGAGTGCAGGCAGCAGTTTGTCCATTTGGGGTGACTGATGGGGAGGGACAGTCCTCTGCTGCTGTGGGCCTCCTGTGACTTAGCCCGGGTGTTTCTCTTTTTCTTTTTACCTGCACCGCTCAATTGCCACAGGGTGCTTCTCCCTTTTCATCTTTTTCTTCTCCAGAAGCAGTCAGTTTTGAAGAGTGCCTATGTAACTTGTGTCTGTCTGCTTCATTGTGTGGACTTAGATGTCCCTTCCCCACACCCATAGCCTGGTGAGTGCAGGCACTTTTCATAGTTTTCACCTATGGGGGCCACGTTAGGCCACTCTCAGGCTAGAGGCCCCTTTTCTGGGCTCTCCTTCAGCCTGTGCTGTTGCAGGAGCTTGAGGGGATTCTCATGCTGAATTTGATGATGGTCTCGTTTGCTTAATGTATATTTAAGTTCCAGCATACCCTGTCATTAAATTATCACAAGAATGTGGCTGAATGCTTTGCTTAATGTCCTTTGGTAAGGACTGTAGGGAGGTCAGCCAGCGACACAACTACCCTTGTCTCAACTTCCTGGAAGCCAGGCTCTACCCCAAGAAATTATTATAAGTGATTTCCAAATGGTCCAGTGTTTAACACATTTTATTTTAATCTTTAAGTGTCTATTTTAAGTTGTGTTAGAGAACGATAAAACTAGTACTGTAAATCCGTGATAAAAGATCTCAACATTGAATAAATCCATTATGGTAAAAATTCAACTGAGAAAATATTAAATAAATAATACAGATAATAAATGAAATTGTTAAAAGTCGAGTTTGGCCAAGATAGTGGCAAATGACTCTAGAAGGTAAGGTGATGTCAACAGATTGTGGCAGAGGAGTTTTCACCTTGGGAATTAAATAGCAGCAGACGTTGTGGTGAGCAGCACAACGTTTCCAGGGATATGGTGCCACCATACCAGAGAGGGGCTGGGTGACCCTTTCCAAAGGTTGGTCTGCCACCAGAACCCTGTGTCAGTCAATTCATTGTAACTCTAGAAATACACTAAGTCTTGGGATTTGGGGACAGAATACTTTTTTCTTTCACATTTTGGAGGATTACTTTTATAATTACTTTCTTTAGTTCTAGTGGAAGCAAAAACCAAATGCTGGCTTTCCCTGAAGTTACCCATTATGGACCGTGCAGATTTGAAATCAATAAAATTAATTTGCTCGTCAGTGCCAGTAAGACAGAGAATTATTCACATGTGAATTACTCATATTGTGTTAAGAAAGTATGTAACTCAATACTGAGCAAAATATGTTGAAATATATAACTACTTTCTTGAACAAAATTTATAGATTTGTACATTTTCAATAAACCAGTCACAGTAGTTTATTATAGAGTTTCAGCCAAAATTGTTTAAAATGACTATTTTAAATCTACAAAGTTAAGTAACTATCAGACAGTGCTAGAAATAATGAGGTTAAATGTAATTGATGGTCGTTATTCCTGAACAGATAAGTTTAAAGTCATCTACTCAAAAGTCCTATAAAGTTTTCCTGCTCCACAGGGGTTTGTATTTGGAGCTTGAGTATTCTGAAAGCAGATTCAATTAGAGTATTGTGCGCTTTATGAGACATCTAATGTGATACTGTGTTTCCCTCAGAAACGGGCATGCAGGATAGCAGAAGCCAGTGGACAGGAGAGAGGCAGCCCTCAGGTGAACACCACTGTTCTGGGGTCCTGGGGCACAGAGGACATGGAGCCTCTGCCAAGAGGTGGCTCTCCTGCAGCGTGGCCACTGGGCAGCCAGGGAAGGCCCAGCTCAGTGGTGCGTAAGTTCCTGTTGCTGCCAAAGCAGTTGTGAACTTATTTACATATTTTTAAAATACTAGGAATAAATAATCTTTGTTCTAATACATCTGTGCCTGTGGTTTGTTAGATTCCTCAAAACGGCGGAAGGAGCTCGATTCAGCCTTGCCCAAGATGTGTTGCTGGGGAATCTGTAAGTGCATTCTGTCTTGCTGTGACATAAAAGATAGACTTCTTCTTAAATATTAGATCCATAAACCAAAGTTAATAAAAACTGCAATTACATTTCTAAAGAATGAGTAACATAAATAAAGGTAAAGATTGATTTGAGCTTTGCTTAGCATTCTGTGGGAGTACACATTAATTTGTTTCCAGCTTCAGATCAGAAATAGAAATTGTAAATAAATACATCAAATATTCTTCCTAAAAAGTGATTTTTAGGAAAGGAAGAGAACACTTTACTTGGGGAAGAAAGAGAACTGCTTTAAAGACATCTTAGGGAAAAGACCAGATCTTATTTAATTACTTAACTGGGAATCCACATTATTTTTGTATTTTTCCCATTTAAGTTTTCCTTGCATGTTTCCACAAATGTCACATAAACATTAGATTTCAGAAGGAAGCACGGTATTCACATTGTCAATTCACTGGAAAGGGAGGTTAAAAAAAAACCCCACCAGAGTCAATTCTCAGTCTGCTGCATGGGGCAGAATATCATAAAGTATATATTAGCATAATAATACCTTTGTTATTAATTTTGAACTTACTCTAAGAACAAGTTAATATTTTTTTGATAACCTCTGTAATTCTTGGGGTTTTTTTTATGTTAAAGCTGAAATCTTGATATTGCAATAAAATCGAATTGTATTTAAATTCCACATAGAAACCAAGAATTGGTGTGCGTATATGTATATGTGTTTCTGAGAGTGCCCCCTAAAGGTATTCAGCAAAGAATATTGCTGTTTTTGATAAGTAGAAGATTAAGTCCATAATTTACAGAGACATTCAGTTGACATATTGCAGGCTATTGTGATTTTACTATGATAGGCACTGATTCTGTCCTAAATAAAGACTAATACCATGACATCTGTCATTCATGTGAATCTCATTATCTAAAGTCATCAGATAAATATGAAAACAAAATTGAATGCTCCACAAAACTATACCTTGTTATTTTATGTGTGCTATTATCAGAAAAATTTCTACAAGTTGTATTGCATTCTTCAGTATAATTCTCAACTGTACTAAAATGAAAGATCCAACAATTTAAATTGAATATATTTAGGTTGATTCACATGCCTGCCAGTTGTGTCCTGAAATACAAATACTGTAAATAATACTTAATTTGAGAAAGATGGTCCTGTTAGGTGTAAATTACTTGTTTGCTAGTGACTGACTACTATCCTTTTCTCTTTTCTTCCTTATTATTTTTTTCCCAGTATTGGGATTGAATCTAGGGTTTTGCACGGAACTCATTCTAGGACAGAGTTTTACTAAGTTGTCCAGGCTGGGCTTGAACTTGTGATCCTCTTGCCTCAGCCTCCGAGAGTGCTGGGAAACAGGCATATGCAACCAAACCTGGCTGTGGTACCCTTTCTTTTTCCCACACCATTTCAGTGGAATATACTTTCCAAATTCCCTCCTCTGTCGGAGGCAGACACTTCAAATGTAATGTGAATTTCTAATGTTCTGAGAAGTTGTGTTCTGGCATGAATGGCTTAGAGAAAAAAATAATATTTAGCTCAAGCAACTGATTGGATCATTGTGGCTAATATTCTGTTTGAACAACAGTACCTACTTGATTAGGGTTTTTCCTTCCTTTGTAATTCCCCAAGCTTGTCACTGTTAGTTTCACAGGAAATGAATCTATGAGCAGAAAACCTACATTGATATGTAAATATCATTTTTTGTTAATGCTCAATATTCTTTTCATCTAAATTTCAGAAACTGACTTTAAAAAATCAGTTTCCTTTTATTTGTAGTTATTCTCAATAAAATTTCACCCAGGCTTGGGCGTTTTAATATTTACACCTACTATTTCTAAAAGTCTTATGTAAATAAAGATTGAAATGTGAATTTGAAAAGTCACACTTCTTGATATTTGAACAGACTATAGCTGCATATATCTTCTTTTTCTAATAATATGGCTAGTTTCACTCCTAAGCTTTTAAAATAATAAGACACTATTTTTATATTCTAAAACACCAAAGGTTCAGTGTTAAATAAAAAGCAAATAGTATTTTTAGAAATGCAAGCAAGATCCCAGGGAATAGAACTTTAACAGTAAGTCACCAATGGGCAACAATTCCAAATTTCAGAAGACTTTATCATATTGGAGGTTCCATTCACAATCCCTTGCCCATTTGCACATCAATGTGTCCCCTCCTGCCTATAGCTCTCAGGTGACTCAGAGTGGCTCCCTTGGATTCAAGAAAAGCAAAGATGATGTCAGTGGTAGTCTGTGTGGAATTCCTAACAGGAGACTCGCATGTGATTCTCAGAGTATTTGGGGACTTTCTCCCAGTAAGTTCCTTACTATTCTGATCTTAGTCTAGCACATCTCTAACCTCAAGGGGATATCAGCTGATCGGATCAGGTCCGCTCTGAATTCTCAATAACGTTGTCTCAGCTAGATGCCTGCATTCCTGTGGTTTTTCTGTTCCTTATTGTAAATCATTGAGTCATTTCTCACCCATGCAAGGACTTTTTCTGTAGACCTTTGCAAGCCATTTTCCAAGGTTTCATTTCAGTCTCTTGTGTGTGATCACATTCTAGTTCATTGTTGCAATGGTTTTTATTTTGGGGTCCCTGAAATGGTTTCTTCAGTAATTGCTATCATGGTTCAACTCATGGCACATGTGCTTGTTTAGGACCCTGTCCTCTTAGCCCTGTGCCAACTGAGACTGACTGTCAGAATGAACGTGAGGGAACACGGTCTATAGTGTTTGGATTCCTCTTCCCACACAGGGTGGGGCTATGTGCTCACTGCCCGCTCTATCCAGTTCTGCAGGCTGTCACCAGCAGACTTCCCTTCCTTTCATAAATGCCCCTGAAGGTGGACCATTGCCAGAGTAGAAGATGTCCTCTTTGGTGTTGTCTGAGCTATGGAAATTATAACAAATTCAAACCAATTAAACAAAACCTAACAAGGTTGCTGATGGACTCCAAAATAATCAAAAGATTATTATTTCTGCTTATAGGGCAGAAAACTGTAGTAAGAAATGACTTGGATGTGTATTGAATGGAGAGATAATACTTAAGTACTGAGTTGTCCAAGGGGCATCTGATCCTTGATGTTCCAGTGCCATACCACCTCAGCACTGGAATCCCTTCTTAGGGAGTACTCTTCTTGCATGTATGAGTACATGTGTCTGTCTCTCTCTCTCTCTCTCTCTGTCTCTCTCTCTCTCTCTCTCTCTCTCTCTCTCTCTCTCTGTCTCTGTCTCTCTCTCTCTCTCTGTGTGTGTGTGTGTGTGTGTGTGTGTGTGTGTGTGTATGTTACTGAGGATTGAACCAAGACCTTTGCACTGAGCTATATCCTCAGCCTTTTTTAAATTTGAGATGGAGTCTTATTAAGATGCCCAGGCCAGGCTTGAACTTGGAATCCTCCAGCCTCTGCCTCCCAGAGTGCTGGGGTGACGATATGTGCCACCCACTCTGGGATTTTATTGGTAAGAAGGTTGGTCAATTATCTTTTTTTCTCAATTCTCTTCCCATTTTGTGCTTCTGACTTCAGCCCTTCAGTCCACTAGGAACACTGCAGAGTGCGGAAGATGGGGAGGCTGGGGCAGTTCCCTTTTTCTACTATATCTTCCCCTCAACTCTCCGTCCAGAGACCCCGTTTCTGATGGGAGTCCCACTGGAGGGACTGGTGACAATAGCTGCTGGGCCTTGTAGTGCGCTGCCACCTCCCTTTGTCCTTGCCCTTATTAGGGTGATAAAGAATTGGTTGACCCCTTCCCCTGTGTGGCTTCTCATCCCTTCCATCATTTGTGTGGTCATATCCTTCTGTTGGAAATAGCAGGTGTGAACTTCCAATTACGGTGTGCCAACTTGAGTAGGAACCACCTAGCACATCAGGGACACCCCAGGTGTGTCCGTGGGGGATTGGCACATAGGCCACAAGCTGAGGAGGGAAGACCTACCCCACGTATGGCTGAAAGACCCATGGCCTGGACAGAATTAAAAGGGAAAGATGAAGTCCTCCCTTTCTTCCTCTTCAGCGCTCCGGTCTTTGCCATTAGCTTTGGAGGTTCCTCAGCAGTTCCTGCAGGCTTCCAGCAGGAACCCTTCGGCTTTCTGACAAGGACTCGCACCAGACTACAGTGAACTCCAGGCCTCCACTGGATCCTCAGGTGCTGCAGTTTGCAGGCAGCCGTTTGTATTCTTCCATCTCTGATTCCATTGACAGCCATTGTAAACCTACTTAGTAAATCTTTTCATATATATATATATATATATATATATATATATATATATATATAGTCTGTTCTTCTAGTGAATCCTAATTAACATACCTGTAACATACCTGGTTTGGCTTCTGTTTTCTGATGAAGCTTTACTTAGTGAATGGACAAATCTAAATCTTTCCTGGGGGACAAAAAGATTGCTTTAAATGTAGGCCTTTGTCATTCACCCTCAAAGCTTAGGTCATTAGTTCAGCAAGCTTGTAATTTTGGAGTGCTGGCATCCTAGTTATGAGTCATACTGTTGTGGGGAGGTAAGTTAGGCTCGCATTGTTGGGGTTGCTATACTCCTTTGCTGTCTTTTATCAGAATTATTATTCACACTGGTAGTGAATTGCCATGCAAGAGCCAACATGCATCCCAGCACTCCAGGAAAATGAGGCAGGAAGATCTCAAGTTCAAGCCCAGGCTGGTCATCTTAGTGAATTAGCAAGACTTCTGTCTCAGAACAAAAGATAGAAAAGAGCTGGGGTAGTTCAGTACAAAGGCCCCGGGTTCAATCTCCAGTACTGAAGAAAAAAAAGCCAACATGAAAACATGACGTTTTTTGTGGACCGCCTGGTCAAATTAGGATACCAGCCTATTCGTTAGCATTATCAATTTTTTTTCTCATTTAAATGGAAATACTAAGAAAGTAGTCTTAACCTCTATATTATTTGTATTTTGACACTGACATCTATTGTCTGACAAATGTGTGTGTGTGCTGTGTGTATTCATGGTGTGTGTG